CTAGCAGTCAGCTGAAGTGGCCTGCAGTACTGCACTCTACCCACTGCGCCACCTCGGGTCAGTTTCCTCGCCTTTGCTGGATTGGGGATAGACCTCCACAACCTGTTGAGCCACCCACATTTTCTCCTTTGGCTTCAGGGTGTTTTTCTTTTTTCCGGTTGAGCTCACGGTACAGATGCCGGCCATGGTACAAGGCAAATGGACACTCAGTGACCTTTCTTCTCACATCAGAAACATGCTCCTGGGCTCTGGCAGGGTTTCTCCCCCATGTCAGGGGTTGCACCCCCCTCTTCCTCCATGGGGCACTAGATGTCTTGGATGAGAAGCAAAATGTCTTCAAAGAAAAAACAAGAAAGTCCAGTTGCCTCCTGAAAAAGCACCTTTGGAACAACCATGACCTGGATGACTGAGAATCTCTATAGACTTCCGGTATTCTTCATTGCCCTTCATTTTTTCATTAAATCAATAGTTTCATCAGAGATTTTTGACTGTACCAAGTGTTTTTCTGGCAGTGCTATAGATGAAGCGGATTCAGGGATGTTTTTGACTATTTGTTCATTTTGGTCTGTAATGTTCAGCTCCTCCAAATCTTGCAATAGAGCAAAGCAATTTGACAGATTAATCTCAAAACTGTTGTTCTCCTCTAACACCTTATCATTCTTTATTTTTGTTTTTCATGATGTCTTTACCATTTAAATATGCTCTTTTTGACAGTCTATCTTCACTTTAGCTCATACCATTCTATGGTCACTTCCAACGTTAAAAAGATTGATGACAGTACACTTGCAGAACATGGTTTTATCACCTGACATGATGTAGTCAATTTCGCTTGTGTACCCAGATGGACTCTTCCATGTCCATTTTCTGCTAGCTTTTTCTTGTAAAATGAGTTCATGATATAAAGTACTTCAGTGAAATTTACTACTCTGTTGCCTCTATTATTTCATTTGCCACTTACATATGGGCCAGATGCTTTTTCTCCAGGTATTGTTCTTCCTAAGATGTAAGGGTAAAAGAAACAGTGTAATCTACAAAATCAACTGTAACCATTGCAACCAATACTACATGGGACAAACATCACATCAATTAAAAACCTGAATTCATGAACATTGGCTGGCAGTCAAATGCCACAATCCCAAATCCTTAATTTTTACTCACACCAACACCAAATAGCACCAATTTGATTGGAGCAACACAAATATCATTGGCCACACTACCATCCACCATGCTCGTGAGTTCATCGAAGCCTGTCACTCCACAAGCAATCCCATCAACAGACACATTGACCTACAACCAGCCTACAAACCCCTCAGAATCCAAATCAACCGCACAGCTAACCAGAGACAGCACTGACCCTCAACCAACCCATGCAACCCCTCCCAACCAGCACTTCACCTCCCAATAACACTCACCTGATGTAACTTTCCCATCACAAGACCCATCAAAAGTCTCTCACTGATGACTCACACCTGACCCATTACAAGACCCTCACTTGACAGGTCCACACATGAAGCCCTTATAAACAGAACACTGACATCCCCTAAATTCTGCTGAAGATACCTAGCCTGGTAACAAAACGTTCAGAAACCAACCCACAAGCTTAGAGAATGAACCTTCGCCCTCATTGTTCTTCCTATTCTTGCATTAAAGTTACACATTAGTATTTTGTATCAGTATTTTTTTGTCTTGAAGATTATGTAGTAAAATTTTACTACAGAATCTTTCAGCCTTTGGTTGATGAGAAAACCAACTCCACCACATTGTCCATCTTTGGTACTTCTAGTGTAGAGTAAATGTCCAGTCCTATCAAGTTCAACAAAATTTTCAACTTTTTATTGTGTTTCACATAATCCATTGATATCCCAATGCATATTGTTGAGTTCAATCATCAATTCCTCTAATTGAGTATTCATTTTCATTGTTTGAATGTTGACCATTCCTATGTCCAAAGTCCAAAGGCAGCCCAGTGATTTTAGCACCCTCTGCCAGTAATGGGCTTTGAAATTTTTTACTACTGGTTCTGTGGGCATGGCTTGGTGGTCATGTGACTGTGTGGATGTTGCTTGGTGGTCATGTGGCTGGGTGGTCATGGCTTGGTGGTCATGTGACCGGGTGGGCGTGGCCTTAGATGAAACAGATTTTCTTGAGTTGCTGAAGTCAAGTGGCATACAAATTTAATAAAATAATAATAATAATAATAATAATAATAATAATAATAATACTTATTATTATTATTATTATTATTATTATTATTATTATTATTATTATTATTATTATTAATCGATGTAAAGAACAAAAATCTACTGAAGGCCCAACAGACNTTGGTTGTTTTCTTGCAAACATTTTATGACCCAACTAGGAAACATAAACAGTTTTAGAAGGGAGTGGGGTGTGTTGTGGGGTAGAAGAGAAAGAAAAGGGGAGGAAGAGGAAGTCTGTGGGGTGTTTGGTGCTCTCTGAACTTGGTTGTTTCCTTGCAGACATTTCATTACTCAACTAGGTAGCATCATCATTAGATGGAGAAGACACTGACCCGCTCTGACCAACATTTTCTGGCTTTTCTAGAAGTCCCCCAGTCACGATGACATGACCTCTTAGATTGTCCACGTTTCCAACATAAATCTGAGGACCTTTATGCCATCTAGCTAACATTTCTAGAATCATACAATGTAAATTTCAGTCCTTCTGTGGGGTTAAGACACCCCTAAAACCCTCCGGGGTGTGTGTTTTGCTAAGATATAGGCTGTTGTGCCTTAGAATTGCTTCTACTGTATTGCCATAAAATGGCTTCTACTGTACAGTGCAGTGGAGTTGCTACG